GGGGTGGGGTTAAGAGAGAGAATGGGTGGGTGAGTTTTAGGGGTTGAGTTTTGTTTCGTCGATTTTGGGAAGGGCGAGGCGAGGTATTTATAAGGGCTTTTTAGGTTTTAAATTGAGCTTTAAAATAGATCCGTATGACGTACGCTTTAAATTTTTTTCTCTTTTTTTTTTTATTTAAGCTAAATAAAGCTCTTTTGATAAAGAGTTATAAAGCCACGCGTGAGAATCTATTTACAACTATTTATTATGCGGTTATGGAAGCAGATAAAGTACGAATAATTGTGGAAAAACTTTAAAGATGTAAATTCAGGAAAAATTGTGTTTTTTAATGAAATATCTGTGTGGAAGAAAATACGTTTCACTGTCAGGTTCGAGTAAGGAAGATCTTGTGTGTGGACATTGTCAAACTATGTAATTTTGATTTTTATTTTGGTTAAATTTTAGGTTTTGAAATATCTGACACCAACCTTGTATGAATTTTTTAAATTTAAAAATTTGTAAAGGAAAATGTGGAGAATTAAGTTTTTTTTATACATAAATGTTCGTTTTATAATGGAATTTTCATGCAAAGTGCTTTTCGATGTAATTCCATTCGTTATCTAACATTGCGTAATAACGTAAAACAATTTTTAAAGTAAAGTTTAAAACAATTACAAATTCTTTATTCGATATCGAATTCGTTCGAAATCATTTTTCACTTAACTCGCTCTTCAAAGTGTTTCAAAGAAATCGAAGAAGAATAATATTCAATTTAAATTTTAAATCGTGTAGAATTTTAAAATAAAATTCGAAAAAAAGTTTGCAATGATCAGGATTTAAAACACTAACACTATGGACTTTCTTGTCCACGTATTATACACTCGTATATTTATCATAAGAGGATGATCACACAATGGAAACTAGACGAATTCGCGGAAGGAGCTTGAACTTTTGCCAGCTTGTGTGAGCTTTTCGATAAATATTCCTCGTTTGCCAATACGCGACTTGTCTATTTCAAAGTTCGAGCGAATTAATATCGAGGAAGATTACATGTGATGACAACTTTTGATTTGTAATTTCGTTGCTTTATTACAACATAATTTAAACACGAATAGACGAGTAAATTGATTCATTGTGACACAATTTTGGCACAAGTAATTTAGTATACGGAAGTACTAAAATTGTGACATTTATAGCATTTTCGTGACACTTTACGTCAAACAATTGATAGATAGAACAAAATTCATTCCATCAAATATTCGTTCGTTATTTATTAAATAATATAATTTTATTTCATGATATTAAAATATCATAAATTTCCTCATATCTTTTCACATACTAATCTTATTAAATCGTTACATCACTATCTATCATTCATAACAATTTTATCATTTTACTTTTATAGAAAGTGAACCTCCATTCGGTTCATGGACCGCACTTTTTTTTAAAAAAGATCAAATATATGAAAATTTCTCAGACCTCCGCCTACGCCTCATAAATGTGTCGTTCAAATATTTTACTTAAACAACTCGAAACCTAAACTTCCAACAAATTTGAACCACGAAAATACGCAGATACAACGATCTTTCAGGCTATTTTAACCCAAAACGAAACCGAAAGTTCGCTCCATTCTCACGATACTGAACTATAAACCGAATAATACTCGAGGCCTCAGGTGTTAAACATAGCCTCGGGAGATCGATCGAAATTGATTTAAATAAACGAGACGGGAGAGAAAATTTATCGCGGCCTACTAATTCGTGCTCGAAATCTTTCAGCACCGCATAAATCTCGCGCGGCGGGTGGACGCCAGAAGTCGTTCGACAGTCGAGAAATTCGAGAGCGGATAAATCGGTTGAAAAATAATAGCCGGCTCGTTAATCATCCCTCGAGCCGATTGTTGCTCGCGAAATTGAAGAAAGAAGGTGAAATTACCGTGGCCAAGGAGACTTTAATGACCGCGGAACACGAGTTATTAGTCCTCGTCTCCTCTGTATTTCTCCTCTACACCTGGCCCGATGCTACCACGCAGACTTTAGCCTCGAACACGACACCATCGTCGATACAATGTATCCAATGGACGGTTAGATAAAAGAGAGATATATTTATATTCCGTTTGCTCCACTTTTAGGAGGTTCAGAAGAATTTTTGGGGAAAGGAGGATCTCGAGAGCTAGAAAGTGTGAGATTGGCGGCGAAGTGGTTTGACTTTGGACGCGTGTGTGGGTTCGTCGAGGATAGAAAGGTTGATAATTGGTCGAGGAGGAAAGTTAAACGGGAAGTTTGGTAAGATTCTTTATTTTTTTTTTTCTTTTTCCTTGTGGGTTGTTTGGTCTGTCTGAAGATCCTTATCGGAGATGTGAAAAGTTGCTCCTTTCGTAAAGTTGTTTCGTGAATTTATGGTCTGCATCTCGTGATGTACTACTTATACGTTGCTTATAAGGTTTGCTCGAAAAAAATTACCGGATTATTTATTTCCCTCCCTTTTCTTTTTTCAATTGTCGAAGAACGATATTTCGTTGAAAAGTCTCGTCAAATTATCTCGTAATTATACTTAAATTCGATAAATAAATAACTTCCTTCTACCACAATTTTCAATATTTAATAACATTGATTTACGATCAATTGTTTGCTTATGATTACACTTTCATAGCCAATCTCGAAAAAAAGTCACAGAATATGTTGGAGAGAATGATCGAAATAGGCTCTAGAATAGGATTTAGAACAGGAATAAGATCCTAATTTCAAAGAATCGTGATCAATATCCAAAGAAGAAATGTGGAAACATTTTAACGAGTCGGAAAGTGAATTTGAAAATTTTTAATTCGAAAGACTTGGCGAGAGAAGGAAGACAGAAGAAACAACATCCCGCCGAAGAATGTCATCCGGTAGCAGAAAAATCGCTGAACACGAGGAGAGCGACACGTGGGCAGAGGCGAGTCGAATCGCGACACGAGCAACTTATTAAGGGACAGGCCGATGCGTCCGGGACGTGTTAATACTTATCATAATGACCCCTTTGTCGCGGCGGCTGCCAACAATGCGTTCGTTATTGCGCCTTTCTCGCTCTTTCTTCCACCAGCAGTGCCACGTTGTTCTTCTTACCGCGTCATTAGCGAGTCATTGTTTCATCCCTGTGTCTATTTGCCTGGCCTCTGCCCCGCGTCTATTTTTTGGACCGATCTATGGCGATTCGCGAGCGAAACCCGTTTTCGTTTGGGAGATTTGGATAATTTTCCCTCTCGTCATGGAACGAGAAGGAAGAAAATTGAATTGAACGCTGATAGTTGTTCACGTTTATCTTGGGATTTGCGCGAAGAGATTTCAAAATTTGCTCGTGTATTGCTACGTTCGTACGATGTATTAAATATGGAAAAATTGGCTTATTGGAAAGGCGTGTGTGGAAATTTCGAAGGTATTAATAATCGAAAGTGTAGGGGAACTTACTTACTCTTTTCATCTTTTCATCGGGCGATCTCGATGAATTGCAAATGAAACGGGTGGTTCAATTCATTTGGTCGAAGGCCGTGGAACAATGAGATCTTGAAATTTATACTCTAATATTATTATTATTATGGAGGTACGTATGCCGGACAAAAAACAAAATTGAAACAGGCAGACCTTTGTTTCCGAGGCCGTGGATATTAGTAAAAATCTCACGTACACGGAGAGGGGGGGAGGACCGCCATCGAAAACATTCACATACGACCGCTTTGGTGGTCCCTTGGACCACCCTCTCGTCTCCAACTGACGATTCCTCGCGTTTAAAAGGATATTGTAAGACTACGCGCTCCGACCGATTCCCTTATTTTTCCAAACCTGCCACGTTTTTTTCCCCCGTAAGGGGGGAGGGGGGGGGAGGGGGTCCACGTGATGCGTGACACATGCGTCACCGCACGCGATTTTTCTTCGAAAACAAATTTGTCTACGTGATCGATTGGACAGGCGACGACAATCCGCTGTATAATTCAGCAATATTTCATTAGCGATTCGAGGTATTCGTGTCTGTCACGGTGATCCAGTTTTTGTATCCGTGTTATAAATATTTTAATCGAGGCTCTGGAAAATATTGAAGTAAAAGCGTCGAATTCATTTACCGAATTATGAAATTTATCAACTCTGTTGTTGCGTGTATTATTTTATTTTATTCTAGACTTCTTAAAAATTCCCCTCCCAAAAAATCGATTTGCTAATATTTAAACCGTTAAATTTTTCAACAAATTTCAAGAAAAGGAGAACAAGGATCGAAATAATGAAAAGAGAAATGGCTCAAACATGATTTCGAAGAGGATTAAGTTAAAAGAAAGAAGCACTAATCCCTAATGACGCGGTTTACCTCGAATCCCCAAAAGTCGACAATATCTCTTTCAAACGATTTCGAGTGACACATTTTTCGCTATATACGTGACCCTTGGTAGACGAAAAATGGCGGCTTGAAAAGAACCACATGGCGGTGAGACGAGGGGGCGCTCGAATTTCGTGAAACATCTTTAAACGATAATCTTGCCCGATCTGGACAACGGTTGACAGCTCTCTATGCCTCGCGGAGAACGAAGAAGGCAGCAAAGAGGATTTTCTGAAGGATCGTATTGATCATCGCCGCAGTGAATTGAAAGTAAATTGGAATCGTTGGAAATAACGAGCGTTCACCCCTGGCGGAGGTCGTCTTTCATTTTAATTACACGGTTTCAATTCGAGAGGGTTGCTTTAAACGTCGAAGATTTAGATTTTATCCATGACAGGTTCTATTATTCCGGGCGTAGTTTATTCGACTCGAATATACGCTTGTAAATCCATCTCCTTTGTACAATGATGATTGAAGATTTAGATCGTGTTGTTCTATTTAATGTAGAATTATTTTTGGTACTGTTTAAAGAGAAGAAACTCTGCTTGTATATTCTTTCTTTTTCGTTCGGAATATAATATGAGGTTACGAAGGAAAATAGATGACAGATACTTTTCTACGGATCGTAAAAAAAGTATTTACACTCCAGTATTTAATAAATGTTAAGTTCAACTTACCCTCATACATCTGCGCATATTGTGGAAAACCAGCGGCCCTCAACCATTTGCAAGCCTCTTGTGCTTCGATTTCTGCAACAGAAAAAAAGAAAATCTCCATTAGCTAAAAGAAATCTTCAACGAGTATCAAAACATCCAAAACATTTGAACTTTGAATTTTTAAAATCTCTTTATCTTAAAATCATTCCAAGAATTTTTGAAACAAATAGAGTAACTTATCAAATACATCTAATCTCTTTATAATCACATCCTACTGCTATCCTAGAAAATCGTAATTCTGCGAAACACGCAAACACCATTCTTTTTTTTTTTTTTTTTTTTCTTCCACCCAATTCATGAATTGAAAGGGGCCACTGGAGTCGTTATCGGCGGTATCCAGAGCCCCAGGTGGCGATAAACTCGTTTCGAGCGAGGCGTGCGAAAGAAAAAGGGGATCCTTATTTACATGAACAAACATTCTGATCATTAACGGCTTGGGATTCCACACTCGGTTTGGCCTGCGCGCGACTCTGCCCGTTTGGTGAATGAAGGCCTCGTCAGAAAAAGCGTCGACCACGACGAAAACGGGTGCTCCCTTCATTAATGCGAGACGAGATACCTTGGCTGACAAGGAGATGCGAAAAACTCGCGCTTAAAGGAATGCAGCGCTTAGCTGCAGGCTGGGAGACAAGGGAGGGGGGGAGGAATGGACGTAGTTTTCCTTTACAGAGGGATGGAGAGTCGCTAAAAGGAGGCAGGAATTTATTTGCGACTAGGTCGAATGATCGATCGGCGCGCTGGAACTCTGAGTATTTGTGTCGTTTCTTCTCTTTTTCCTTCTTTTTTCTTGGCAGTAGAGAATTCGTATGGAAGAAGGATCTACCTCTTTCGAAGAATTGCGATCTGATTATTAAAATCATTTATTTTATTGTATTTACAAAGATTCGATGCTTTGGAATCGATTCGAAAGGTATTGATCTTGGGAGGGTGATTTTTATTGAACGGGAGATTAATTCTTTTACTGTAAAGTTTATAGGAAAATTGTTTAATTGTTTAAATTGTTTATTTATTATATTATAAGGTTATTAAGGAGGTTCGTATTGATTGTGATAAGTTGAAAATAATTCATTTGGAAGGAAAATTAATTTTTCTGGCTGTAAAGTTTATGAAAGATTGCGATATGATTATTAAAATATTCATTACGTGTGAAGATGATCAATTGTGATGGATGAAGAATGGATCAAAAGAGATGAATTGAATTAATTATTTGTTATAAGAGTGTTCTCTCGTTGGGAAGGAGATCAATCTTTTTCTTCGTGAAGTCTATGAATGATTGCGACACGTTTGTTAAAATATTTATTAAATATTGAAAAGATTAATCTTTTTGAAGTGGGTGGAAAAATTATCATTGAATAATCGTTTGATTTAGAGGCAAGTAAAACGAAATAAGATAAGTGATATCAATAATTTAGATCAGAGAGAGAGAGAGAGAGAAGAAAAAAAAAGGAAAAAAGAAGAAGAGAATCAAATTGAAAAGTTTTCGAGATTATTCGCGAATCGACTAACAATATTTCCCGCGAATTTTATCGAAGAATGAAAATATGTCGCGTTTATTATCTCGTGTAAACAATAACTCGTGAATGAAAAGAATGAATGATGAAAGAACAAGAGATGTTGACAATGGAATGTTTTTACGATAAGAAATAAAGTGCTACTGAACTATGCTCATTCATAACCTATTTGGCATCTCGTCGTTTAACTCGTCGAAGATTAGATACGCGGCTCGTTTCAGATAACTTTTCCGATTGAAAGAATCGAAAGAATGAAACAGTGTCGTTTCTTATTCGTTTTCCGAGCGAGAAGAATAAATCAATGTTTTTTGTTCGATTCGAAAAATTTTTCCTCAAACTTTTCCTTTTAATTTTATCCTTCAATTAACATTAAAATTCCAGATGCAATCGTCTCGATCGTTCTTTCTCCTCGAATATTTCGAAATTTCTTTTTAAAATTCTTTTAGATTTGATACTGTTCTCATTATTTATATTTATGTCTCCACTCGTTAAGAATAATATTCTTCTCAATTTATTTGTAAAAAAGATGAATATGAATAACCAACAAAATTCCCCAACAAAATTTTAGATATAATCAAATAGATTCCAAGCTTTTAATAATTTTTCTTGCGCGTCAAATTAACAATATCAAGATGAAAAATATCATACGACACGGAAGAATGTTTACAGCAATTTCTACACGAATCGGAATCAGATATCGTTTTTCAAGATCGATTCACTTCCTGGTATGATTAATTGGTCGGACGTGGCAATAGCGAAATTCCCATGAAACATCGATGAATCGGAAACGAGAACAGATTTGCCGCAATGATGTAATAAGATAGAATTACGAAAAAAAAAAAAAAAAAATACGATAATACGTTTTTTAATATTTTATTTTAGTTTCATCATAACTTTATATTATTTCATTTCGGAATTTGAATTTCAAACTCGTTCTTTTGTACATCAAATCATCCTTAAATTGTAAGAATTTCAGATAAGTAAAATGTGGATGGATAAATAAAGTCAATTTGGAGATCTTGGTAAAAATTGGAATTGTTCCAATTTTTCTTTACATATTCTACAAAAAGATGACTGAGACCAATTCTAGAGACTATCCATTTAGTAAAAAATTGCTCCAATTTTATTTTTACTGGAGAAGAACTCGTATCTTCCTCTTTGTGCCTCTAGATTAAATGCATGCAGACTAAAATTGGAGAAATTCTAATTTTTTTTACTTAAACGAATTTGAATTTGATTTGACGAAAGAGTGAATTCGTTTCACGCGTTTCAGGCCGTGAAATTCGAATCGAGCACAACAAAGCAGCAATGCCTATATATTTGTGAGAAATATTATTGAAAACAATTCTCAAAGAATTTTACTTTCAAATGTATCCATTACCCACTGTCGGTTTATCATCATCGCATCAAAGGAATGACACAATATCCAATTATAAGCAACCTTGGACGTAGGAAGCGTAGCATTTGCTTTACCGTTCGCTTATTTCCGTCACAAAAGAAACAAAATCTCTCTTTCATATATCACCACGATGATACGAAACGATGGATGACGTATAATACATAATTATAAATCATTTTGCCCTCCTATCATCTCCTATTTATCATAACACCTTTCCATTTCTTAAAATTCGTTAAAAAAAACTATTCAAACCTTCTTTGATCTACAACCTAAATTTATTAAAAAAAAAAAAAAAGAACACTAAATACGATTTTATTTTAATCACCTACGATGAACGCCAATCCTCAACGTCGAATACGCAACAAGTGCAGACGCGTCTTCAACGATTCGAGAATAAGAAAAACCGTGGATGGACAAATGGAAAATAAGGAGGAAGGCGGTGTCGAGCAGCCCGTTTCTACCTTTCAGGGAGCCCTCGGCCACCCGCCGTGGCGAAAAAGAGGATTCATAGTGGCGCGGTATCGATGCGATCGCGCATCGTCGCGCGATAAAACGTAGGCAGCTATCACTATCGATATCGCCCCGGTGAATTTATCGATTTCCCGAACAGCGGGAAGCCTGTGCCCGCGGGTTTTACACAGCGGCCGATGCACGGAGCGAGGGAGAGGAGAGCGAGCGAGCGAGAGAGGTTAACGTCTTTATTTCCCCTCTCGATCGTCGTCGAGAGATTCTTCGAACGTGGCGCACGACACCGAGCGCACTATGTGCTTCGTGGATCGCGATCTGTTCTCGGATTAATTGTCGTTTTTATCGTTCTCATCGGGAACGATTGTTGAACGAGGGGAATTTGAATTTGGCGCGCTTAGGTGCGATTCAAGGATCATCGAAAAAATGTATGCAGGGTTTATTAAGAAGGATTTACAGTTATTTTTATCAGAAATCGATACTCGTCACTACGATTTCGGTGGGGAGAAATTTGAATTTGGCGCCCAACGAAACGAGCTGTGATTCGTGGTTTGCCATTATTGATTAATTATCCGTGAAAAACGTGAGAAACGAAATTTTTAAGCATTTATAACTGCTTTTATATTTATAATATCGACTATTCTTCAATTTTTGATGTTTTGAATGTAGCTTGAGAGAAAAATAGGAATTTGATTTGTTGGGTCGATAGAAGTTTATTAATTGGTGGAATGGAATTGAGCGTTCGTGTCGTATTTCGTTAGAACCATGAAAGAAGAGAAAAATGTGTTGTTGTGCGAATAGGCTTAAATAAATATAGTTTTAAAGGTTTCGTTGGGCTTCTTCGAGAATGGTGCAAAAGGTGAGTGACGGGTTAAGAGCCTTTTCTTGGCCTTTGGCCTACGTTATGTGAAACTATGAGAGTGAATGACAAATGTTTTTCTTTATAGCAGAACTACCAAACAAATCAAATTAATTAATTCCAAATTTATTGTCCTTACGTATATTAAAACTATGCGGATACTTTTGGATATTTTGATAGTTGAAAAAGCATGGTGAATAATTTTCTTATACATTGCATACTGAATATAAAAGCAGAAAGTATATTTTAATTGAAGTTCAAAATATAATTTAAATCATATAGCGTAAAAGAAATATTTTTGTCCATTGTTATAATTTCTTTATGTATTAGTATAATTATATATCTATATTTCTACAAATTCATAATATTTAATTATAGAAATACATCTGAATCATCGCAAATTAGTTTATTAGTTTTTAATTTTCAATGAATATTTAATTGATTGTAAATTTTATCTGAAAATTGCATGGTTATGTTGTCAATAAATTCACATAGATGATTTTAAACAATGAACTCTGTTATGCTTTAACCAATGTATGTTAAATCACGAATTTTAACTAAAATAGAACGTCAATGTACGATTTATTATATTTCTATATCAAATTTATTATTCCTTTGGAGAAATATTCAATCTTAAGATAACAATTTACTCTTTATTTTCATTGAATTTAGTTTACTTTATTGATTAATGAGAACGAGGAAGTTTGTAATGACACAGTTATCACCAAGTGTACATATGTATATAAAATAAAGATTATGATAAAAGCTCCAAGAAATAGAAAGTTTATTGCAAAGAAAG